CGACAGACACGTGAAGAAGTGTGCAGCCTCACTCACCATCAGAGAAATGCAAATCAAAACCACACTGGGATACCAACTAACCCCAGTAAGAATGGCCATCATTAATAAAACAAACAATAACGAATGCTGGCGAGGATGCAGAGAAAAAGGAACACTTCTACACTGCTGGTGGGCATGCAAATCAGTGCAACCTCTTTGGAAGATAGTGTGGTGATTTCTGAAAGAACTAGAAATTGACCTTCCATATGACCCAGCAGTCACCCTCTTGGGAATATACCCAGAGGAACTCAAATCATTCTACAAAAAAGATATCTGCACATGCATGTTTGTTGCAGCTCTATTCACAATAGGAAAACCATGGAACCAACCATGCTGCCCATCAGGGCTGAATTGGATTTTAAAAAATGTGGTACATATACACGATGGAATACTATGCAGTCATAAAGAGGGACAAAATTATGAACTTTGCGGCAAATTGGATAGATTTAGAGTTGATCATACTCAATGATCTATTACAGAAACAGAACAGAGTACTATATGTTCTCACTCATAAGTGGACCTTGAACAATTATTGTAATACTCTAAGAAAGGTATTGGCAGTAGTGGGAAACTGCCAGGGGAGAGGGGGTGGGATTGGCAGTTGAGGAAAACTGCCCGGGGGCGGGGGAGTACATCTCATCAACAAGGGTACCTGTATAATGAATATTTGTATACATAACCCTGAATTGTACCCTATATCTTTAAAATAAAAAAATTTTAAAGTTTAAAAAAAGAAATATTAAAAACATATATATGTATTTTGACATGAACAAAGATAGAGGTTTATGGCTCATTATCTGACGACAAATGATATTTTAAAATATTTTATAAAATAAATTTGAATTTTAATATTATCTGTGTTGACTAATGAGCATAAAAGGGCTTAAAGATTCTAATCTATATTCTATAGACAATAAAACAAGTCTGTAATAATATGTGTATCTCGAAATTTTAATACAATTTTTTAAGAACATTTCCAACATTACTAACAAAACAGGACCCAATTGTCATTAACATTTTCAGTCATTAACCCTAAGTGTATATATGTATGTATATTTCCCTATATGACTTTCTACTTTTGAATTGCACCTCCTTCTTTATCTGCATAAATAATTCTGTTCCTGCTTCAAAGCTCTTCTTTTTTCTTTGAAGAAAGATAATTGGTTTTTTTCTTCTTTTTTTGATAATCAGGAAAACTTGAGATCTAAGGCCTTGGGCAATAGTCATTTATTTTGAGTTAGAATTTAAAGAGCCTATACTTTATAGCTTAATATCATGCAAAATGGATAAAATTGGGAATGTAAAATGATTCAATTGATATAAAAAATAGTTTGGCAATTTCTTATAAATCTAAACATACACTTGCCATAAGACTGATCAATTTTGCTGGGAGGTCTTTACCCAGTGATTGGACAATATGTGTTCATCCAACAACCTTTATGTGAGTGTTTACAATGATGTTTTATTTATAATCTACAAAACTGGAAACAACACAGTGTCCTACAACTAGTGCATGGATAAACAAGTATGATACATCTATACAATTAAATACCACTCAGTAATAAATGAGAAAGGATTAAATATACATGCAAGAATATGGATGAATCTCAAACATATTATGCTTAGTGGCTGAAACTATACTCAAAGCGTATCATGCCATTTATATGACATTCTTGAAATTTCAAGCAAAATAATAGTGACAGTAAACAGATCAGACAGTTGTCAGGGACTTGGCTGGAGGAAGGTAATGATTACAAAGGCACACCAGAGAATTTTTGGGGTTGATGAAACTTCTATATCTTGATTTTGGTGGTAGTTACATGACTATGTTTGTCAAAACTTACAGATCTGTAAACTAAAAAAGGAGTTTTTTAATGCATGTAAATTGTACTCTAATAAAAAATGACATCATAATTTTGAATAAATGAGTATGAGGCTTTTAATATTCTGTTTTTATAGTCTTCTTTAAATAGCTATAGGGAAATCCCACTCCCATGTTGTATTTTTTTGTGAACAATTTTAGTTTTTCTTTTTAAAAAAAACATAAATCAATTTCTGTGCTCACTATTCCTCCTTTACTTTGTAGTTCTTTTTCTTAAGTCTCTGGGAGCATTTAAGAAGTTTTCATTAATGCTGACAGTTCACAACTTCTGTACTGTGTGGATTTCTTTTCATTTTCCTGCCTAATATTAATACTTGAGAAACTGTCCACTCTCTTGAAGCATCACTATGGCAGAACATAGTAACATCAAGACACTTATGCACACACATAAACCTCACTGGATTGCCAAATGTCAGTGAAGGGAAGAACTCACATTTATAGATTCCATAGGGAGCAGTCATATTGAATAGGAAATAATCCAGGCTAAATGAATGAAGCAACATCCCACAGAAGCTAGGGAACCCACCCTATGCTCTCAGGCAAAGGGCTTGCCACATAAGGAGTCTTTGCTTTCTGTCTATTCAGTTAATAATTTAGAAATAGACCATCAGTGCATCCCTTATGGTGGAACAGAAACCTAAAGCTTTGGAGTTCATTTAGTGAGAGAAGAGTACAGGGATATCAGGTCACATACCCACGAGGAGTCATTATTATCCTGATCCTGGACCAGCATTCCCAGGGGAGGCCATTTTGGCTCAGAGGGCCAATCCCTCTGAAGATAGGGGTAAGATAGGGTAGAAGGAAGAGCTCATGGATTAGAAGACAGGGCAGCTACCTCCAAGAACAAGGCTCTGACTCACTTTTGGCCCCAGAGTCAGTGAAGCAGAGCATGGCAGGGCCTCCGCTGGGCAGTTCATTCAATATCTATTTCCTCCAGAATTCTGCAGCTTTCATTCTTGCTTCCAGTCCTCAGCAGGAACAAAATAAAGTCTGAGTATCTGGACTCAAGAACTTAGTTTGACAACTACTCTAGGGCTAGAGGGAACTCTTTGGGGACTTGTGTGACAGAAGTAGTTTCTGCTAATTCTTCACAGGTGGGAAGACATGAAATTTATCTTCTTGCTTCATAGGAAACTACCCATCTGTATTAGCTATCTGTCTGTATCCATTGGCAACTCAGAGAAGACCGATAGGTAAGTGAAAAGAATATAAAGACCCCGACTCCTGATCTTGGTGAGATTCCTCTGACACTTAACCTAACATAGCAAAAATTAAACCAAGTGAATACTGCAAAACAAAGCCTTATCCTCCTTCCCTGTCTCTCTACTGGAACACCCTCGACCTTCAAACAACCTGCAGGAAAGTTTAGGTTGTTGGACAGGTAGGCTTCTCATCATCTGAGGTAAGGTCTTGTCCCTCTTTCAGGAAAATATGTAGCCTCTGGGCATGTTGAGTAGGTAAAATAGAGTCCAAAGCAGACCCTAAGAGCTTAAACTACTCAATCTGCTAGATTGCCTAGTACTTTGCACTTTATAGCACATCTCATTCCCTCTATTCTTGATTTTCTGAACATTAAGGGAATTAATTAGGACTGATAAAGTCTGCTACAGCTCAGGCCTATGTATCAACTTCCTGGTGGAAATCTCAATATCTGTTATTAGACCCTGTGGTCCATGCTGGTCTTTGGTAATAGATTTTTGCACCTATCAGATGATGAATGTCCTCAAAGGGTTTTCTAAAAGTTGATAGCTGTCTGCCTATATCCACTGGCATCTCAGAGAAGACCGATGGGTAAGTGGGAAGAATAGAAAGGCCTTAACTCCTGATCTTGGTGAGACTCCTCAGACACTTAACCCTGTTGCATGCTGTCATACCTTCTAGCCACTAAGGTACTAAAAGACCAAAAAAGTTTTAAAATATGTATAACATGATATGGGAAAATAGGTTATATAAGGGTGCTAAGCTTTAACTCCATGTTCAGAGTTGGTTTTATCTGTTCAGCTCCATGATTCACATAGACTCCTGTCAATCTCAGGCCCCTGTCTCTGTTGGTTTCTCCATGGAATTGAGTACCACACACCAACAGCAGCTTTCCAGAGAGTTTTTCTTTCCTATCCCTGAGGCCTTTTCACCCAGTGTGGATGCTCTGGCCCTACAGAAGGGAGAGTGTGCATCTGGGTTAAAGACAGAAGGGCGGACAGAAATATTGAGCCTGATTATAACATATAATGAAACTTTTTAGTTGCTTTTCACCATTTCTCCCAAACACCAACTTGATCTTTCTGGGAAGGATCTCATGTGCTGTCATATTTCTGAGTTTTCCTAGGTTTGCATCTTATCATAATGCATTTTTTAAAAAAAATATATGTTTGCATTGATTCTAAAGATTTATCTCTTACTGTAACACTTTCTTAAATGCAACATTTCCTAGCTGTAGACAGTCCAGAATCCCTTTTCTCTCAAGCTTGTGTACAATGTAGGGCTGGCCAAGAGAGGTAACTAACATGGACAAGCTTTTGTCTTCTAATGATGCTTGTTTCCACCACCTTGAGTGCTGTAAACAAATGTGGAGGTAAATTCTGTGGAAAAATAATTGGAAGTACTTTATTGAAATCCAGCCTCTGTCCCTGTTTGAAATTTTATATCAAAACAGGTCTATGTATAAAACTAACTGAATATTTAAGTGATTATTCAAAAATTATATTAAAGTCTATCTACAAGGATAATCAAGGGCATGTGCAGCAGAGTATTTCTTAATATTAGGAGACAGATGATTCAATTTTTCTGGAAAGACACATGTTCAGGTTTAATGTCCTGAATAATGTCATGTAGTGATCTCTTAATGTTTAGCTATACTGTGATATCTGTTTCCCATTTAGATGGATCTTTTATCAAAATGCAATTAAGAGTCAGAAATTCAGAAATCAAGAAGCAAAGTCTGTTATCATTGGAAAGGGTATCACCACATTGAGTTCATTTTGGGTATCATAGGGGTCTCTGATGTTATAAAACTAAGGTTTATGATAGCAGAAATTCACTAAATATTAATTTGGTTCTAGGCAACTAAAGAAATCACAGCATGGAGCTCTGGAATTCCACTTTGGGAAATGGCTTCATCTTAGTGGGGATTCTGAGTGACAGTGAGTTTCCTGAACTGCTCTGTGCTGCACTCACAGTCCTGTACATGTTGGCCCTGACCAGCAATGGCCTACTGCTTCTGATCATTTCAATAGATGTCCAGCTCCACGTGCCCATGTACCTCCTGCTCAGGCAGCTTTCTCTCATGGACCTCTTGTTCACATCTGTTGTCACTCCCAAAGCCCTTGTCAATTTCCTGCGCAGAAAAAACACCATCTCCTTTGGAGGCTGTGCCCTTCAGATGTTCCTGGCACTAACTCTGGGTGGTGCAGAGGACCTGTTACTGGCCTTCATGGCCTATGACAGGTATGTGGCCATTTGTCATCCTTTGAACTATATGACCCTCATGAAGCCAAGAGTCTGCTGGCTCATGGTGGCTACATCCTGGACCCTGGCATCCTTGAGTGCCTTAGTATATACTGTGTATACCATGCACTATCCCTTCTGCAAAGCCCAGATCAAGCACCTGCTCTGTGAGATCCCACCCTTGCTGAAGCTGGCCTGTGCCGATACCTCAAGATATGAACTCATGGTGTATGTGATGGGTGTGACTTTCCTGATTCCCCCTCTTGCTGCTGTACTGGCCTCCTACACATTAATCCTGTTTACTGTGCTCCATATGCCCTCAAATGAGGGGAGGAAGAAAGCCCTTATTACCTGCTCTTCCCACCTGACTGTGGTTGGGATGTTCTACGGAGCTGCCACTTTCATGTATGTCCTGCCCAGTTCCTTTCACAGCTTCAGACAAGACAACATCATCTCTTTTTTCTACACAATTGTCACTCCAGCCCTGAACCCCATTATTTACAGCCTGAGGAATAAGGAAGTCATGAGAGCCTTGAGGAGGGTCCTGGGAAAACACATATTGCCAATATAATCTACCCTCTAGGGAAAGCTTATGGCTAGTTTCCAAAATTCATTTTCCTCAAAGTCAGGAGATTTTTGTTATAATTCAAATACTATGGTAAAAAACAATATAGTACAGAATAAGTATCTCTTTTAAAAGAAAGATGAAAGAATGTACCTGGATTTATCAAATGTTCTTTGAATTTTCTTTCTGTGATGTAATTTATAGGATGTGCTTAATACTATTTAAAATTACTCTTCACTCTTTTAAAAATTTACTTTCTATTTTTCTAGGTAGTTATCTAGTTAAATGGGTCTAAGGACTATCATCAACTTGGGACATGACCCCTGACTTCAGGAATTTATATTTGACTAATGTAAGAACCAGAGAAAAGAAAGTTTCATATGGGTGGACTACACTAACCCAAACATCAAAGGGGGAGATGTGTTGAGATCTGCAGAAATTTTAAACCCACTGACCTTATTTAAAAATCATATGGACAATCTTATCTAATGCCCCAATTGATAGCAATTTGTGTGTATTTGCACCGTACTAATTTTTCCTTTTTTCAAGCATCAGTCACATGAACACTTCAACAGGTGTGTTTGTTTGTTTATTGATTTTTGACATGGAGCTATTCTAAAGTACTTAAAATTTAATTATTTATGCAATGAATAAAACAAAATGTGAAGGCATTCCATAGGCAAGGTTCATGATAAACAACTGTGCTTATTCCTTGCTAATAAAAAAATGTAAAGAAACAAAACAAAACAAAGATTTCCATTTTCCAAGTTTGTCTTGAAACATTTCAGCAACTGCAGAGGCTTCCCATGCCTGGCGAGCATGAATATTGAGTCATCGTATCTGTGTATTTGTGCTAAAGGAGAGAACAACGTCATACATTTTCTTACTAGGTTAATTATGCTGTGTTACTATTAGTGTGTTTAAAAATCTGAGAATATTTATAATAAAAGATGTGAACAAAAGCTTTGAGTTGTGTTTTGAAGCTTAAAAACCATATGAAATAATATGGTTAATCAAATGGCACTAGTTTGGATTATATTGCTACTTGTGAAAATTGGCTAACACTTTTTCTTTTTTCCCCCCCAAACTACTATAACACTGCTTCATCTACAACCTTAAAAGAAGTTCTTTTTAAAAATTAATGAAATTCTGAATATTAGAAATAGGCAAACACCACTTACAATTTTCTTATCCAAAGAGAATTCCTACACACATTTATGTCAATTTCCTTCCATTTTAAAACAGGCATGGATTTTACTGAGTTAATATTTGCATGTAAAACAGAGATTTTTTTTCACTTATTAGCATACAGTGATTTTTTTCTCTTATATTATAGCAGAAGTGTAGAACACTGCAAAGAATCTGGAGTCAGTTATCAACATACAGAAGTCAGAATTCAATATACCCTATATATTTGTGTAACTTTGAGAATATTACTCAACCTGTTTGTGCCCAAGTTCGCAGGTCTGCAAAGTGTAAACTGACGTTCACAATAAGATCAACTTCATTGTACGGTGAAGATTAAATAAGTCAGCAAATATTAGGCAAGTAGAGCAGCATCTGGCATATAATAAGTATTTAATAAATTAAACTCTTATGGCATAAATAGACCTGAAAATGTTAATGGGTGGCATATTGTTACCGCTACCGCATACGGATGCTTTGAAATATTATTTGATATTATCATTGTTATATATTTAACATTGGCATGTATATGTGTATTTGCGTGTGTATATTAAATCAGTAACATCAATCTCTTGAGTGTGTGCCTGGTCTTATTCCATAGAATAACTTGTATGAGTTAAATTACTGAAACTAAGGTTAAAAATCTATTTACTATTCTTGATATAAACAGACAGGTTGATTTTTTTAAATGTTAAAAATTTTGCATTCTTACCAGCAACGTATAAATGTACTTAACGTACTACTGTTTTTCCATGTTAAACTTTACATATAATGTTAACTAATTGATAAGTTATAATATTTAAGTCTATTATTTTAATTTGCTTAAGTAATTTTTTCACTTTTTAATTGACTTGTTAGTTTTTTACAGATTAGGAATACAGAGACTTTGGTCTATTTGTGGTAATAACTTATTTTTAATTGGTTATTTGACTTCTAATATCTCCATGGTAGGGATTTTTAGGCAGAGAAATAGTAAAGATATTTGTGTAGTGAAGGGTATCTTTTTTTTTTTTTTTTTAGTTGGAGTCTCACTCTGTCGCCTAGACTGGAGTGCAGTGGCTGGTCCCAGCCACTGCAGCCTTGACCTGCTGGGCTCTGGCGATCCTTCCGCCTCACCTGTCCAAGTAGCTGGAACTCCAGGCGCACACTACCATGCCGGCTAAGTTTTGATTTATTGTAGAGATGAGGTCTCGCCAAGTTGCCCAGGTGGGTCTCGAACCCGCGGGCTCAGGCAATCCACTCACCTCGGCCTCCCAAAGCACTGGGATTACAGGCTGAGCCACCGAGCACGGCCTAAGGGTATCTTTTCTATTATGTTCTTGTTCAATGATTTTACTTTTAGGATATAATTTTCTATTCTTCCTTTAGGGAACACTTTATATATTTTATAATTTTTCTCACTCTATAGTTTATGCTTAATTTTAAAAATAAATTTTCAATTCATCTTGCTGTGAAAAATGGTGAAGTTCTAACTTTTTTCAGTTACCATTTTCTTGTAACATTTAAAAATAATCCTTCTTTTTTCCATCAATTTTGTCTACTTCCTTTACCTCACATACTTTTCTAATAAGCTACATTTTGGCTACCTCTTCAGTTCTAGCTTCTTTCTCTTTATTCTTTCTGAAGACATTTGATTATATCATTCATGTATTAAAAGCCTTCTGGGAATTTGAGTATATTTAACTCATAAATTAATTTGTAATTTGGGCATTTTTACAATACTCAGCCTTGTCTTTCAGAATGTGGTATACCACTGTACTTCCCAAACCTAGTGTCAGTTGCTGTTTTAAAATGACCATTTCACACCTTTAGTCTCAGTTGATGCCTTAGCCCACACATTCCTCACTAGAACAAAAGAAGTCAGTGGCAAAGACCCTTATCTTCCCCTTTTCAAACCTATCTGCTTCTACACATACATTTCCTGTTTGCCCTCATTACAACTGTCTATCAAAGGCTGACCTTCACCAGCACTTTGGGTCCCAATTTCATTGACGTTAATTTTGCTCCTGTATTATTATTCTTATCTGAAACCATATTCTTCCATTTTCCTGGATCATAACAATAAAAATACAAATACATTCTGATAATCCCCATAATAATGAACACTTTCCATGATTCCAACCCTCTTTGTTACTGTCACTTTTTTTTCAGTTTCACTTCACAGAAAAAAATAAAGTCCAACACAAGTATCTATGCCCATTTTCTTCTTTGTTGATCTTCTATTCACATCTTAACCCACTTTCAATCAAGCTCTGGTCTCTTTCTACCAGCTTGTTATCTGTCAAAGTCATCACTAATAAAACAATCACCTCTATGTTCTCCTCCTTCAACCTTTCAGCAACATTGATGGAGTTGAGCACACCCTTGAAACTTTCTTCTTTTCTTGGTTTCCAGACACCACAAACTGTTGGCTTGCCTCCTTCTTCCCTCTTTTCACCTTATTGAATCCCTTTGCTTTCTGAATTTGGAAGTTCCCCATAATACTAGCAAGGACCTACCTTTCTTCCTACTCAAGTCTCTTCCTTAGTAATTTCATCTAGCTGCATAGATTTTTTTTTTGCTATTATTATCAAATTTTATTTTATTTATCTATTTTTATTATAAAGATGTGGGGTCCAATTCAGGGTTAGATATACAAACGCTGATTATGTAGGTACCCTTGTAGATGAGGTATGCCCTTCCGTCCCCTAGCAGTTTCCCTCAACTGCCAATCCCATCCCCACCCCTGACAGTTTCCCACTAGGGATTCTCAGTTATGGAATATTATGCAGTCATAAAGAAGGACAAACATATGGACTTCACAGCAACTTGGATGGATTTAGAGTCACTCATAGTCAGTGATCTATCACAGAAACTGCATAGATTTAAATATCATCTACCTGCTTCTGAGTCCCAAAGACTTGATTACTTACATAATCCATATACTCATATTGATTACTTCTCATGTCTAATGGGAATTTCAAGCTTAATTCAAAACATAATTTTGACTCATCTCCATGTTAATCTGTTCTTCCCTCATTTTGTTTCACCAAATTCAATAGCATCGGCATCCACACAAGTGATCAAACTAAAAACTTAAATCTAAATATTGCTTTTCTTCTCTGTCTTATGACCTTGAAAAGTAAATGCTATTGATTTCATTTATACAATAGATTCCACATATGTGCACTTCTCTTGGTTTTCTCTACAAAGTATCTCAGTCCAAGTCACCATAACCCGTTTCCTGTTCTTCCGCAATACTTTCCTAACAGGTCTTACTTTTTCCACTCTTGCTCCAATAGGATCTGTTTTCTCCCCAGTACACAGACTAAATTTCATACATATGAAACAGATCATGTTACTTTTCCACATAGATGCATATATTCTTGTTCCTGCCACCTTTCAGGCCACCTCTGAATCTGTGCTCCCTTACACTCACTCTAATCTCACTCCATTCACCTCTTTGCTGTATAGCACAGAGTCCAAAATTGTTTCTGTTTTAGGACCAATTAGTAGCTGTTCTCCTAACCTGTGATCTCTGTCAAAGTTTGGCTTATTACTTCTCAACATTTAGTTCTCACTCTAGATGTTAACTTTTGGGAACAGTCTAAATAACATGCACCCAAACCAGAAGTAACTATCACATACTTTGTTTTTATCATCTTCACTGCTTTTATAATACCATTATATGAAAGTTTTTTTTTATGCCTTAGTTTAATTGATTGTTCTCTGACTCTGTCCTCCAAAATGAAAGCTCCTCGAGAGAATGGACTACATTATGTGTTTATTATGGTTTCTTCTTCATAATATCTAGTAATATCTGTGACATAATCTCATGACAA